AAATGGCAAATTTTAGCTTTCAAGGCAGAAGGCGGAAATGTCATCAAAGACAGACAAGAAATTCTAAAGTAATTTTTACAAATATCTGTACAAAAATGAAAGCAGCAACACCGCAGTGACGACAAACAGCTTTGGAAGATGCAAATGAAGTCGACGAAATTCCAGATATCCCGCCAGATGAAGCTCAGCATTTAATAAACCGGGCGAAATGACGAGAAGTCATGGCGAAAACGACATTTCAGGGAAACGGAGGGAGTCAGAAGGTGAAACATTGATCTTATCAGAGGATATTAGAATAACTGTTTATCATCCTAAAGGAGCTGAAAATTTCAGACGATTGATCCATCGCATCGGTGATTCCCTTCCACAGAAAGGAAGACAGAGAAGATTGGAAGAATTACAGGTTGATCGCTTGATTGCCAATCATCAACAAGACCTGCACGAAGGTGCCGATGAACAGACTTCAAGCAAAACGGGACATTGCACAGACAACGGGGCAAGCAGGATTTCGAAGTGGATTCTGTACGATGGATTCATATCCAGGTGGCAGAACAAGTAATTCAGACATGCAAGGCATATCAGCTTCCTCTCAGTCGGGATTCGTCGATTTTTAGAAGGTTTTTTTCGACTCAGTCTACATCGACTCTCGATTCCTGACGAATCATGGATCTGAAAATTGATACAGTGAATTAATCGCCATATTTCACAAGAACTGTTGGTTGTAACAGGGACAAACAAGCTTAAAATCGAAGGATAATGCAATATCACAAAATTTATTCACTGCAGCTCTAGAAGAGACTTTCAAGGCACTCGTTTGGTAAAATTATGGGCTAAACACAGATGATCACTACTTACGCCACTAGCAGTTTGCGGACGACATTCTCATCCTCGCAAGCTTACCTAACAGCTTCAAAGAAGAATGAACCGACCCCAGAATCAAAGCAGCGCTGAAAATGAACCGGAAGAAGACTCAGGCCATGTTTCGCAACTGCATGATCTCGCGATCTGTTTAATTCAATGGATTTAGGAGGCAGCTTAGCTCTAGGGCGAAGAACTGAAGCTGTGAAATCAACAGAAAAATAAAATTATCATAGAGCACTTCTGACGGGCTGAAACTGTCCTCCTGTATGAAACGGAAAGTTTTCGATCGGTGAGTGCTTCCAGTGCTAACCACTGAAGCAGACCTGGAAAAAAGTCTAATAATCACTCACAAACTGCAAATTATGCAATAGAGAATGGAAAGGTGTATTTTGGGAGTAACAACTAAAAGAGGGAGGTCAATGATTGGATAAGAGCATATATGAGAATCTGCAATGTCACTGCGTGAGTGAAGAGGTTAAAGTGGAATTAAGCAGAACACTTGCAGTAAAAATCGACCATAGAAATCGCTTATCCAGAGAAATGTTGGAAATGCCTACCAAAAGGAAGTTAACAACCATAGCGAGACCTAGCGATCGATGACAGAACGAGTTGGAGAAGTTCGCTGAATTAAGATGGATAAAATGGCAGAGAACGGATGTCTATAACAAGGTTGTCTTTGAGAAACGTTCATCCAGCAGTGGATCGAAAAAGACGGATGGTGGTAATAGCATACGTGGCATGGCGCACTTCTCCTCTGTTCAGAGTAAAGACACTGAATGTACCACGCTAAACAGTGACTTTATTGCAGATGCATCAGATATTACCATTCAAGTGGCAGCAGATTGCTGTTTCCTCTTTATCCCAAGATATATCATATATCAACTAACTTCCTTAACTAACCAGAGTGTAGGACCCGGTGAAACGATTTCGATGCGCTTCCTTCGGGAACGAATACAGGCGATAGCCAACGACCCTTCAGCCTGGTCGGCTACTCCTCGTCCATACATGATTTTTTCAAAGAGGTATGGATCCCCGCCAAATATGCTTACGGTCACCTTGCTAACTAACATGCTGTCTGATTCACGGACAGACCTTTGCCGTTACTGTGGCAACTGAGGATCATTCGCTCTCCCATTTTTGGCCCTGTAGTACGATTTCCTACTTTGGGCGTTGCCTGCTCTAGGCAAACATGGGTACGCTGAAGTTAGATTATGAAAGCGTTGGCAAATGCAGAAAATCATGATAGGACGCCGACGACGGTCTGTACAGAATTGGCGCTTTCGGTAATCAGGGGACATTTACTGTGATTGCTTTCAACCGTTTCAGTGAACGGTGATTTAACCATTTCACACAAGTGTGAAGGCAGATCGTGTTGCTTTCGCAGATTCTTCGTATGGCTGACGGTCAAACGCTTTTCAGCATTCATCTGGAATCTAACTTCGGCGCCAAGCAATTTGGATCCGCCGGTGAACGAAGGTCGCTCAAGCTTCGCTCTACTTAACGTACAGCAGGCAAAAACGACCATTACGATGCCGCTAAATTGGGTCGTTAGCCGTGAGTCACGTACTCGCATTGAAGTCGAAGAAACATGCCAAGTTGTGGGCGTCTGAAAAACGAAGGAATGCATCGCCATTGTTAAGGACGGTATGAAAAAGGGAACGTGGAAAAAATGACCGCACTACCAGCGACGGACGAGTTAGTAGGCGCGATGACTGAAAGAAGTCGATCGCCGGAATCGAACGGCCAAACGTAAACAGTTGGTGTTTTTGTCAACGTTTCCAGCGAAGTTTGTTCCATCACAGCTAGCGCTGTCGATCGCGTTCGATAGTTCCTTCGAAACTGGGAGATGTGCCACGTTGGAAGACAAAGCCATAGGCTTGTAATTGGGACCCTTTCAAAGAATAGTAGCAAACATTGTTGACTCTATGTCTCACTTTTGGCAAACCAGTCAGGCAGGCAAACGAGGTCGATGTACTCAAGGAATAAACAGTCGTTGTGACCCAGAAAATTCGCAACCGTTAAGACAGTATATATTACCGTCGAGAGTAGTAACGCGTCCATTGGGATATGGACTGAAACTGCTTGAATGTTCAGTACAAAAAAGCAACCTTTCGCTGTGACTGCTTACTGCTAGTTATCATGGCTTGAGCGTTCAACTCTTGACCTAGACATCAAACAGCTTCTTCACAGTAGTTCTCCAGTTGACAGACTTTGTTCGACAGTCGATGCCATTATTCATGGCGTATCTAACTTCTGTCTATCATCTCGCCACAGCAACTTTGCAAAAATTTGGGCAAGGGCCACTAAGTTTTGTGTGCAGCAGCTCTATTAACGACCCATTAGTAGCTTGACTCAATGATTATGAGCTGCCAGCTCCAAAAGTGGTAGTTCGCCAGTAGACTGCTTATAA